GAATTGGCTTCAGTTGCTCTATTCCTTGGATCCCTTTCTTTTATAATTCGACTGTGTTTTTGTCTAACAGTCTCTTTATTCTGTCTGCGGTGTTGTATTTGGGCCTTACTGCCACTCCTGACGGGTGATCCTGTGCTTTGACCCACACCTTCTGCCCCACCTTGAATGTGGTTTCAGGGTCTGGTTGTTTCTCCTTATCATCGGGGCCCCGCCCAGGTTCCTGCGTGGTAAACTGTTGTTGGTTAAGCTCCTCTGAAGGGGAGGGTCTACCATCGTGACGCCTGTCATTCAAGGCCTGTCCTATTTCCACAGCTTTAGTGTTCCAATCTTTGGTATTAGCATTTTTAGCTATCCAATTTTTGACTAAACCTATGGCTCTTTCGGCCACCCCGTTGGCCTGAGGTGTGTAGGGAGGTGAATACACACGCATTACCCCAAAAGTCTGACACCAGTGATCCACTTGTGCATTGCAAAAATGTGTTCCATTATCAGTTCTCAGTTCCTTTGGAACACCTAATGACCCACAGACCTGCTCTAACATGCTAACAACACTGTTGCCATTAGCTTTTCTTGCTGGCTTTACTACCACATACCCTGACATTGAGTCTGCTAGCACTAGAAGGCATTTCTCTCCCTTCTTGCCTGTGACTCCCATAGGCCCAGCTACATCCATGCACACTGAGCCCCAGGGTAAGGTGCTTTTGATAGTTTGCCCACCCACTCGGTGCCCTGGCAGTCCTGCCTTGTATTGACCACATACTTCACAGTCCTGTAGCACCTTGCGGACTTGTTTTAAAGGGACCCAGAGCTCCTGACTCTCCAACTCCTTACGTGTAGGTTGTACGCCCACATGACCTAGGCCTTCATGCACGCCCTGTACAACCTCTACCACGTACTCTTCTGGGACCCTCCGACCTTCAGAGGTTCTGTCCCACTTCTCGATCCCGACAAAAACTTTTTTCTCTGCTGGACATAACGATCGACTTCTTCGTTACCCTGCCAGTATTTTCCTTCTCTAGTGTGGGACTTTTGTTGCTCTACCTCTAGCTGCAGATTTAGCCTGAGTTCAGCTATTTTCTTCCACAAGTCTTGGTGAGCCACCATTTTTCCCTTGGCACTTTCAAATCCATTTTCTTCCCATATAGATAAGTCTTCATTTAAAGCTTGTGCACAGTAATGACTGTCAGTGACTACTTTTGCCCTTTTCACTTTTTTATTTGTCAGTTCTAGCAGTCCTTCGAGTACTGCCATAACTTCTCCTGTTTGCACACTTCCTGGCACTCTCCCCCTCCCACGGCAGCACTCGTTCCCCTGATATTTGAGGATAAATCCCCAATGTGCCCCCTGATCAGATCCCTTCTTGGATCCGTCCGTGTAGAGAGTCCAGTCAAGCATTTGTTGTTGTTCAGGTGTCTCTTTTGTCATTCTTTTGCTTGCCGGCTGTGCCAGTCTTATTTCTAGATCCGGGTCTAACAAAATGTCTTCCCATCTACCCCATCTTGTGTTGGTAGCTTTGGTACTTTCAATTGTTCCTTTTCTGAGATATTTGTGCACTTGGCTTTGTGTTATGACTTTAATAGGCTGTCCTTGAGCCAAATCTTTCAGCGTTCCCCAGTACCTAGCAAGTACTGCTAATTCTTTTTCTTCCTGAGGAAATTTTTTTCAACCAAGATTAACGTGTAACTCAAGAGTAACTAAACCTCCATTTTCATTTTTAACTGTTATCATGGCATCGTCCCCCTCGCAGCTAACTTCAGCTACGAGTTTTGTCATAAGGCTTCTTGGTTCTAAGCGTACCACTTCCTTTATTTTTGTTCTCAGTTCTTCCAGGTCATTTTGGTTTTTATTCTAGCTGGGTCTTGCATCACTATCATTTGAAGCCCATTTACTGCCTTGTTACAATGGTACATACTCTTTTCTTCTATGCATTTAATCAGGTTTTGTTGCAAGATTTCTTCTTCTTTCTCCAGATTACTTTCTTTGAATTGGAGTTGCTTTAGGTGGTCCCAGGTTTCGTAACCTTTTCCATATGGGAGGATTCCTATCCTTACTCCTAGCATTTCTTTTTCTGACTCGGATGTCACTTCTGTCGGATCGTTTAACGCGGGCTGGTTCTCCAGCTCCACATTTTCGGCTTCTTCGCCCATTTTTCAGTTTTTGTCCTCGAGTTGCCTGTTCTTCAGAGTCTCCAGACTCTATTCTGTGTACTTCAGAATGGAACAGACTAGCTGCTTAACTTACTACTTGGATTATGGTCAGTAACCCTTCGTAAGCCCTTCTACCCCACCCACTGCCTAGTGGATTAACAAGGGGTATTTGGCTGGTGGCCTGGTCCAGCCGCTCACACTCTCTCAACTCTAGGGACTGTGTTCTCTTCTTTGGGGGGTCTTTACACTAAAAAACCATCCCACCGCTGCCACCATGTCTTGCTATCCGAGTGAGGTAGGCACAGGGCACGTGCCACGCCCTCACCGCAGCCTCTCCTCCAACGGGTCTCAAAACTAATCCTAGGGCTCAGGTATTACCCGCAGCTGTTTTCCTAAGATGGTTTTAGGCTGTGTTGAGATGATTCACCCAGACTGTTAACTACCTTCGTTCCTTGCACCACACCCAGCTTTCACCTCGTGCCTCGCCCAACCTAGCAGCCGGAGTGGGGACGTTTGGCAGACGAGGGAGCGCAAGTTAACGGTAGCTCATCCCCTGATTTAGTGTTGCAATTGTTAATCGATCTGGTGATTTTTAGAGCCTAGGAAAAAAGACTCTTGGGTGTTGTTTTATAATCAAAAGCTAATAAAACCGTTTAAAACCTCTCACATACTTCTGATGTTTCATTGAACCAAGTTTTCCACTTCCAAGAACAAAAGGTGTGTTTGAAATAAGAATCCAGAATTTTACGTTTTGCTTTGCTTTTAATCAATAACTTTTGCAGGGGAACAGTGGTATAGCACATTATTGATTACACTGGATTACACAGAGAATTACATGATGAATGATTCTCACTCCTTAGTTCCTTTTTAGTTGCTGACCTTCCCTGGGTGAGGTAGGTGGATGGGTTTGAAACAGGCGCTTGGACTCCTCTCTGCCCGGCGTCGGACTTCCCTCAGTCCAGCCGGCCACGCCCGGTCTCCCTTAGGACCATAAATACTCACACAGCTTACCTACTCTCTCCACCTGCCCTAACAGATTATTCCTCACCACAAAGAAGACCCTTCTACAACTCTGAGCAACCAGGTTTTTAATATAATAAATTTTTCTGTTTGTCAATTCATACACCACTGCTAAAATTTGGTAAAGTTTGGTTTTAGTACGGATCAATTTTGCGGAGCGTCCCCTTACCATGCTTTCTGAATCTGGTAAGAGGCAGATTTCCCGATCCCATATCGATCAGATTCGGGCCACTCCTAATCCTTGTGCTGGTTCGATTTGAAGAAAAAGGGTTTCAGGTTTAATCCGGGCTTTTGAGTTTTGAAGAAATAGTTCCAAAAAAGAAAACCTATTCCATCTGACTTTCACCATAGTTCTCCTCCAGCTAAAACCGTCCAAAATAGCCCTATCAATCCACAATTCGTCCAAAGGTTCCTTGGATTTCGTCCTTGGTCCTTCGTCTGTGAAGAGGGTCCTCAAACAGCAGCGATTCAACAGAAAACTCTGTTTTTATAAGCCTCAGATTTTGACTGACACCTCTCGGCTAGTCACCCCATCTGGCTTACCCCACCTTTTTCAGGCGGGACCTCGATCCGACTTCACTGGTTCCTTATGAGACTTTGCAAGTCATTCTAATATATTAAAATCTGGGTGTATTTAGTTTACTTTTTGCACTGTCATCCTGTGCTGTCCTGTTCTGATTCGCTCAGAGTTGTGTTTCAAGGCCCTCCTCTCTTGTGTAACATAATGGTTCTTTCCAGAACATTCACGAAGCTACAGGTTTCTTCCATTCAACATTCATCATGAATCAGCTTAAACACAGATTACATTGTAAAATCACACAGATTACATATTTAAATCACAAAATTTATAATTTTACTTGATCATCTACTTATTTATTGATTTTTCATAAACACATATTTTTCATTCATCTGAAACTGGTACTTTATTTGAAAAGAACATTCTTTTTGCTTTGCTTTTCTCCTTCCTGCGTGTGTGCCTCAGTGAGCCCGTGTTATGTCTGTGCGAGTGTGTGAGTGAGGCCTCAGACGGGCCTGTGTGTGTGTGTGTGTGTGTGTGTGTGTTGAAGTAACATTATCCTTAATGTCCATGTGTTTCAGTGGTTCCTGTCTATGTTTGGTGCTGATTAAAAGAAGGAGCTCCTCAAGATCGAAGGCCTGATGTGGACAAGCAGGACCCAGAGCCTCTTATCATCGAGTGGAAGAGAGGAACCTTGGACCAGTCTGGTGGGAGACCAACTCAATATGGAAGAGACTGATATCAGCTTCTTGGTCACTACAGTTCCTTTAAAGAGTGAGGAGAATAAAGAAAAACTTACCAGGAACCCAGATTTAAAGACTCACAAAGACAATTCCAGCTCTTCAAAGACTAACGTTAATGAGGCCAATGAAGAGGATTGTGAAATGACCAATCCTGACTCTCCTCTAAAGAACTCCTCAGACTTTGAATCAGAATGTGAAGATGGTATGAAAGACTGGAAGGAGAGCAGGGCTCCTGAATCAGAGGTAAAAACGGTCAACAAGTCTTTGAGCTGCTCTGAGTGTGGTAAGCAGTATGTCAGTAACCGGACTCTTCAAAGACACATGACAAGTCATTCAGGAGTGAAGTCTTCAAGATGTCTGCTTAATAAGAAATGTGTTAGAGAGAAGAAAAATGTAGAGTCACGCAGGAAAATCCAGGCAAGGCCAAAATCAATAAGCTGTGATGACTGTGGTAAAAGATTTACTTGCAAAGAACATCTAAACTCACACATGAGAGTCCACACAGGAGATAAACCATTTTCTTGTGATCTTTGTGGACAAAGATTTAGTCAGATGGCAACTTTAAACACACACATGAGAGTACACACTGGACACAAACCGTTTCCTTGTGAACTTTGTGGACAAAGATTTAGTGTAAATTCAAATTTAAACAGACACATGAGAGTCCACACTGGAGACAAACCTTTTCCTTGTGATTTTTGTGGACAAAGATTTAGTCATAAGATGCATTTAAAGTCACACATGAGAGTTCACACTGGAGAAAAACCGTTTCTTTGTGAAATTTGTGGACAAAGATTTAGACAGAAGACAAATTTAAACACACACATGAGAGTCCACACTGGAGACAAACCGTTTCCTTGTGAACTTTGTGGACAAAGATTTAGTCAGATGGCAACCTTGAACTCGCACATGAGAGTCCACACAGGAGACAAACCATTTCCTTGTGAAATATGTGGACAAAGATTTAGTCTGAAGACAAATTTAAACAGACACATAACAGTCCACACAGGGGACAAACCATTTCCTTGTGAACTTTGTGGACAAAGATTTAGTCAGATGGCAACTTTAAACATGCACATCCTAGTCCACACTGGAGACAAACAGTTTCCTTGTGAACTTTGTGGACAAAGATTTAGTAAGAAGACAACTTTAAACACACACATGAGAGTACACACAGGAGACAAACCGTTTCCTTGTGAACTTTGTGGACAAAGATTTAGACAGATGGCAACTTTAAACTCACATATGAGAGTCCACACAGGAGACAAACCTTATCTTTGTGAACTTTGTGGACAAAGATTTGGTCATAAGACAAATTTAACCATACACATGAGAGTCCACACAGGAGACAAGCCATTTCCTTGTGAAATATGTGGACAAAGATTTAGTCAGAAGGCACATTTAAACTCACACATCAGAGGCCACACAGGAGACAAGCCGTTTCCTTGTGATCATTGTGGACAAAGATTTAGTCAGAAGAGACGTTTAAACAGACACATGAGAGGCCACACAGGAGATAAACCGTTTCCGTGTGAACTTTGCAGACAAAGATTTAGTGATATGCAAAATTTAAACAGACACATGAGAGTCCACACCGGAGACAAACCATTTCCTTGTGAAATTTGTGGACAAAGATTTAGTTGTAAGACATCTTTAATCTCACACACGAGAGTCCACACAGGAGACAAACCATTTACTTGTGAACTTTGTGGACAAAGATTTAGTCAGACGGCAACTTTAAACAGACACATGAGAGTCCACACAGGAGACAAACCTTTTCTTTGTGAACTTTGTGGACAAAGATTTGGTCATAAGACAAATTTAAACACACACACAAGAGTCCACACAGGAGACAAACCTTTTCTTTGTGAACTTTGTGGACTAAAATTTGGTCATAAGACACATTTAAACAGACACATGAGAGTCCACACAGGAGACAAGCCCTTTCCTTGTGATCTTTGTGGACAAAGATTTAGTCGGAAGACACATTTAATCTCACACATGAGAGTCCACACAGGAGTAAAAACTGTCTAACTATAAATATTAAAATAACTATTCTAGGCCATGAGATGCAACTGGTATCTTAATACCCAATTAAAATTTGTTTTGATTTTCTGAAAGATATTCTGGGATCATTTTTAGAAAGTTCCCAAACTGTGGTTTTCTATTAGTTTCTTGAGTATTCTTTAAAAATAAACTAATTAAACCTTAGATCATAATTTGGACTATAGAGGTTTCTAAAATACTGGTTCAGTGGCTGCAATAATTGGAGAGAGAACCAACCAACCAATCAAATTACTTGTACAGGTAATGGTCATAAAATTAGAATATCAAGAAAAAGTTGATTTATTTCAGTAATTCCATTCACAAAGTGAAACTTGTATATTATATTCATTTTTTACAAACAGACTGAAATATTTCAAAAGTTTATTTCTTTTAATGTTGATGATTATAACTTACAACTAAAGAAAACCCCAAATTCAGTGTGTCAGAAAATTAGAATATTAAAACCAATAAAAAAAAAAGGATTTTTAGAAATGGGGCAGCACGGTGGTGCAACTGGTAGAGCTGCTGCCTCTCAGTGAGAAGGTTGCCGGTTCAAATCCCAGTCCAGGGGCCTTTCTGGTTGGAGTTTGCATATTCATCTCTCCGTGCATGTGTGGGTTTTCTCTGGGTACTTCGGTTTCCTCCCACAGACCAAATACATGTATGTTAGGCTGATTGGTAACTAAATTGTCCCTAGGTGTGAGTGAGAGAGTGAATGGTTGTTTGTCTCATTTGTCTCTATGTGGCCCTGTGATGGACTTGCGACCCGTCCAGGGCATTTCCCGCCCCTCGCACAGTGATTGTTGGACATGGGCGTGACCCATGTGACCCAAAATGGAAGAAGTGGTAAAGATAATGGATGGATGGATGGATGGATGGATGGATGGATGGATTTTTCGAAATGTTGGCCAACTGAAAAGTATAAACATGAAAAGTATGAGCATGTACAGCACTCAATACTTAGTTGGGGCTCCTTTTGCCTGGATTACTGCAGCAATGTGGTCTGGCATGGAGTTGATCAGTCTATGGCACTGCTCAGATGTTATGATAAATGGGAAATGGACTGTACTTGTATAGCACCTTTCTATCTGATCAAGATACTAATAGCGCTTTACACTACAATCTGTGTCCTCATTTACCCATTCATACAGCACTCTACTAGATCTCTACAAAGCTAATTGACCAAATCATTCTAAAAAGACTAATCAGAGCTTTAGATCACATTCATACACCGATGGGACACATCGGAGGCAACGAGGGGTTCATTGTCTTGCCCAGGAACACTTCGACATGTGACTGCTGGTGGATTCGAACCCCCAACTTCTTGCATTGGAGGACGACTGCTCTAACCACTCAGCCACAGCCGCCCAAATGATATCCCAGGTTGCTCGGATAGTGGCCTTCAGCTAAATGGTAAATGGTAAATGGACTGTACTTATATAGCGCCTTTCTATCTTATTTCAAGATACTCAAAGCGCTTTACATTACAATCTGTGCCTCATTTACCCATTCATACAGCACTCTACTAGATATCTACAAAGCTAATGGAACAAATCATTCTAATGAGACTAATCAGAGCTTTAGATCACATTCATACACTGATGGGACACACATCAGAGGCTATGAGGGGTTCAATGTCTTGCCCAGGGACACTTCGACATGTGACTGCTGGCAGATTCGAACTCCCAACTCTTGCATTGGAGGACGACTGCTCTAACCACTCAGCCACAGCCGCCCCCACTCAGCCACAGCCGGCCCTTCTGCTCTTTTGAATTGTTGGATCTGGCATATCACATCTTCCTCTTCACAGTACCCCATAGATTTTCTATGAGGTAAAGGTCTGTTGAATTTGCTGGCCAATTAAGAACGTTGGTTATGTACTGTAACCCCAGATTCTATGAGTATAGGCGTAGCCCTTTAAGAGCTGTCGCTTAGTGGGTTTATCCCGTTATGCGGAGCATTTGCACTGAAAAAGTTAGTCCACGCCCACCTGCTGTGTGGGCCCCACCCGGTCCGTATAAATTACGTTAAGAGCGGGAAATCGGCTCCCAAAAATAGCTTTTTCTTCAGCCATTTAAGAGCCAGTGAGGCCCGACGCTTAAAGGGCTACGCCTATACTCATAGAATCTGGGGTTACAGTACGTAACCAACGTTCTATTTCGTATAGGCTTCGCCCTTTAAGAGCTGTCGCTTAGTGGGTTAAGGGCGAAGCGGATGTTGTCCTTGCCTCACTGGGTCCATTCGAACACCGTATGAAGCAGAAGCTTGCCCAAAAAAGTCTAGTCACTCAGCTCCCATGTGCGTAATTACGCATTGCGTAATTATGTGTGCCATGCACAGACGCATGTTGTGTAACTATGCATTCTGAATGCATGAACGCCCCGGAAACTTCAACGGGGAGGGAAAAACGCTGAAAAGAGCCATGAACCAACCGGTTTACGGCTGAACCGTATGAACAGATTAATAATAACAGGAGAGCTGATTATTAATCAAATGAACTGATTGGTAACAATAGTCGTGAACTGATTAATGACAATAGAACCAAAATAACAGTCACAACTTGTGACTGATAACATCTCACACTGTAATGCATGCAGACAGATGTGAGTAAAACGAAGTTCCATGAAACAACAATATTCATTCTGTAAACACTAAGGACAGAATGTGTCATGGGACGAGCCGTCACATCACCTAGATAAAAGCGAATAAATGAGCAGGGTGTTGACCACGTGGCCACAGTGCAAAATGTCCTGCATTGACATACCATTATGCAAAGCAGTCGAAGATGCAATACCCCTGGTTGAGTGTGCTCTGAGGTTGACAGGAGGCTCTAAATCTGATGCTCTGTAGGCTTCAGAAATGGCCTCACACAGCCAGTGTGACAAGCGCTGGGTGGATAACGGGCGACCTGCAGATGCATCTCTATAATGCACAAACAGATGTTGACGCATTGCAGCTGTGCACGCTATGTAACACGTCAACGCCCGCACAGGACAGAGGAGATAAAAATATGCTACTTCTTCTGATCTGTGTGAAAAAAGGGGGGGGACGACCCCTCCAACGATATCGCTCTTGATTAAAAAGATGCACAGCATGCCACCTAATGGACATGAGGTGGCCTCTACACCTTTCTCTGTACACCAGTTCTGAAAAGCTGTCCGCTTTGATGTGTACATCGCTATGGTAGATGCAACACGTGAAACCTGAATTGTGCGCATTACATCCTATGGGCGACCCATCCTCTCTAAGTGGATTCGTTCAACGGCCAGACCCACAGGTGCTGGCCTATTTCTGGGTAACTCCTGGTCGCTCCTCCTGCCTGGAGGAAAGCGTCCTCCCTCTACGGAAGTTTCCACGGGCACCTCGACAGCAGGCGTTGCAGGGCTGGGAACCATGGTGCGCTCACGCGTTCGGGGCCACCCGGAGAGCTGTCAATCCCTCCTCCTGAGCTCTGTTCAAGAACCGTAAAATCAGAAGAGGTGGAAAAAAACGCGTACAGAAGCATTTTGGGCCATGGACTGTGGGCAAACGCATCCACCCCAGCGGTGGTTCGTCTCGTGGGCTCAGAGAAACGCATAATTGACACTGAGCGTTTCTCGTGTCACAAACAGGCCCACAGCTGCTATATCAATCTGAGACAAAATGTTCCGTCAGAGGATGATTAAAGGTTGTTCTGTCTCCGACAACTTTGAGACAAGAAGAAAACACGGCTGCAGCATACGATAGTCGTGCTGGACACCAGATTTCTGTCCCTCGACTGCTGCAGAAAAGACAGCATGTCGTCCAGTGGACATGAAGTGGCCTCTACGCCTTTCTCTGTACAGCAGCGTTGGAAAAACTGACCACTTGATGTGGACAGCGCTGTGGTGGTTGCAGCACGTGACTCCTGAATCGTATGCACTACATCTTGAGAGAGATCCATCCTCTCAAAAAGATCCACACAGCGGCCAGACCACAGGTGCTGGCCTATTCTGATTAATTCCTGATCGTTCCTCCCGCCTGGAGGAGAGCGTCCTCCCTCAACGGCAGGTTCCATGAGCGCCCTGATAACAAAGGTCATAGGCCTGGGAACCATGATGCGTTCACGCACTTGGGGCAGACGAGCTGGCAGTCCCTCCTCCTGAGCTCGGTTCAGAAAACCGTGATATCAGAGGGAGAGAAGAGGTGAAAAGGCATTACGACCACAGGCTGTGAGCAGGCACGTCCACCCAGCGGTGGATCGTCCCGTGGCTCCACGATAATTATAATTGACATTGAGCGTTCTCTCGTGTTGCTACACGTCCACAGACGCTGGCAGGATTTCTACCGTGTCTGAGCCATAGCTCTGGGTGGAAAGTCCCAGGTCCCCGTGCCCCAAAAGACTGACTTTGGGCATCACATCCGCCTCCTGTTTGGAATGCATGAGATGTACCCACTCCAATGGAGAGCAGATTGGGTGTGCCCCACACAGCATCTGTCTCACAATGTGGCACATGGGTTGAAAATGCATACATCTCCTGCCAGTATGTATGCAACAGTCACTGCTGTCTGTGTGAATCAAAAACCATGATGATTCTGCAGCTCAAGGTCAGTGTTGAGTCACATTCAAAGATCCCGTGCGACACTCCAAAAACATATAAAAGAGCTGCTGTGTGGAGAGCCACAGCGGCCCCACAGCTTGTTAAATGTGTGTGACGTAGGTCTGCTGACGGAAAACAGCTGATATCACTCAACCGGTTCACGTGAGTTGCACTGCTGCCACCTGTCTGTACAAGCTGCTCAGCAGCAGCAGGTGTCCAGATAAAGCAGAATTAAAGCGGTTCGGGCGCATAATGGAGTGTTGTTTCTCACAGCTCAGAAATTGACAATCTAGAATAAATCTCATCTTTCCAGTTCATTGGGACCAGGAAGTGATGAGAGAGACCTTGTGTTTTCCTCTCCTTCTGAGACTCTAGAAATTACATTTAAAACAGAATTTCCTGAGCTTCTGCTAG